CCCGAAGTGCATAACTTTGCATTTCTCTACGTTAAATTTCATCTGCCATTTTAGTGCCCAGTCCCCAAATCAATCCAAATCCCTCTGCAGCAAGGCAATATCTTGCTCACATTTTATTACTTTACAAAGTCTTGTGTCTTCTGCAAACACTGATACATGGCTTTCAATGCCCATTTCAAGATCATTTATAAATATGTTAAATAGAAGCGGTCCCAAAACAGAACCCTGAGGGACACCACTTACCACTTTTGTCCAGCTTGAAAATTTACCATTAATGACAACTCGTTGTACTCTATCCTTAAACCAATGTTCTACCCAAGAACAAAAATATTAATCTAGACCAATTTCTTTTAGTTTGAAGACTAACCTATTGTGAGGAACCGTATCAAATGCCTTGGCAAAATCCAAGTAGATCACATCCACTGCAACACCCTGATCTATACTTCTACTTACTTCTTCGTAGAATGAAATTAGGTTAGTTTGACATGACCTATGTTTCATAAAACCATATATATGTGGGAAAAGACACTGATCAGCAACATTCACATGAATGCCAGGACCCAATGTTTCCCTGCAGAACATTGCCCAAAGTATAACACTGCCTCTGCCAGCCTGCCTTCTTTTCATAGTGCATTCTGCTGCCATCTCTTCCCCAGGTAAATTTTGAACATGGACCATGCCATACACCTCTAAAGAAACCATGATTCATCAGATCAGGCAACCTTCTTCCACTGCACCATGGTCAAGTTCTAAGGCTCATGTCCCCAGTGAAGGCACTTTGGGCTGTAGACAGGAGTCATGGTGGCACTCTAACCAGTCTGTGGCTATGCAGCCCCATATGCACCAAACTGCAATGCACTGTGTGCTTTGACACTTTTCTATTAAGGCCAACATAATGCTTTTCAGTAATTTGAGCTACAGTAGCTCTTCTGTGTGAATGGCTAGCTTATGCTCCCCCAGGTGCATCTATGAGCCTTGGGCCCCAACCCTAATGCCAGTTCACTGGTTATCCTTATTTGCACCACTATTGGTAGGTACTAATAACTGCATACTGAGAACACCAAACAAAGACTTGCCGTTTTAGAGATTTTCTCACCCAATCTAGCCATCATTTATGGCCCTTGTCAAAGTCAAGAAGATCTTTTCACTTCCCCGTTCTTCTTGCTTCCAGCATATGAAATTCAAGAACTTATTGTTCACTTACTGCCTGCCACCCTTTGACAGGTGTCATTGTAACAATATAATCAGTGTTATTCACTTTACCTGTCAGTGGTTTTAATGTTATGGCTGATCAGTGTATAATATATCTATGTAACTACCTGTTTTATGTTACTAAATAGGAAAATCATCAAGCAGATTAGTCTGGATTTTAGTAATCAGGGATGTATCTTTGCATTACAAAAGAAAAAGTTTTGAAAAGGCTTTTCTCTCTCTAAAAAACATAACTAAATGGAAACATTTGATAATGTCTAAAAGGTACATCATACCATTGAAAGAATAATGAGAACAATTTAACCTTATCCCCTCAAACAAATCATCTTAAGTGTAATGAAATTTTATTTCAGCAAATTAATGCACATATGAGCCAGTTCTGTGTAAATAATCTTGTACTGTATATTGTTCAGAGAGAACTGACTTTCAAATTAGCCTGCTTTTCAAAACAGTGCACGTCAAAAATATAGTCAAAATGCAAATGTGTAGTAAATGATTCTATAATAAATGCCTCATTCAACATTTAGTTTCCCTCAAATCATATTTTAAAGCTCTTTCATGCTAATGTCTGGAAGATGTGACATTAGAAAGATTGCTTTGACATGGCTAAGGGGCTCCAGGATTAACAAAAAGAGAAAGGACATGATAAAGCATTCAGAAGACTTATTTCAGAGGAATTACGCTTTGCTTTGAAACTTGTCCAAGGTTGAAGTGCATTTAAACTTGTTGGCATGCATGCAAATGAGCAGTCACGACTGATCGTGTAGAAATTAAAGCTATTGACAAAAAAAACAATAAGTGCGAAAAACGATAGCTCACACATGTTGCCGTTAAACAGACCAGATGTTTTATAGGCTTACAAAGTGTGTCATGGTCTATTTACCACTATACTCTTATTTTACTGAAAAAGTGTCAAGGTAAGTATACTCAAAAATGTATATCTAAAGTAAAAGACAAAAAAAAAAAAAATAGAGAGAATGGTTAGCAAATATTACCAATACTTGGGATGGTCAGTCTTAATGTAAACTGAGATAAGCCTACATCAATAGGTGTCTGAAATACACAGAAGCAAGAAACAGACTAACGTCAAAGAGTACAGAAGTCAGAATAATTGGATAGTAGGGCCAAGTTAAAACCAAAGAAACAATAAACAGCAAGAACGCACTCTTGGGTAAACATAGATTACAACACAATGAACAGAGCATGGAGTGGACTTAGATTGCCCAGAAAGGAGCAATATTTGCAATTGCAATTGCCAGAACATCTGCGACTGATGTTGGTGGAACGCCTCTTGCTGCAGCTCTTAAATGTGATGCAACTCATTCTGGAGAATTAAGGATGAAGCAGTCCACATCAGAAATTATGCCAGAATGATGAACACCATAACTATGTAGAAACTAATAGATGGAAATAGATGCAAAGCAAACTGGTTAAATATGGGTGGTAACCCCTAATTATAAAGACTCCTTTCACAGAAATAAAAAATAAATTAAAAAAACAGGAGTAAAATATAGCTTTTAATAGGATTTTTGAAATAATGATCACAAAAGACATGCACAAACAAGGTTAGTGAGAAATTAATCTCTTACTAATAACATTAGAGGGAGACAATATAAATCCTTCAGTATAGAAAAAAAGAATGCCCTATCAGATTTCAATCTGATTTAGCATCTGTGGGATATGCTGGAACAACAAATTCGATCCATAGACGCACCACATCGCAACTAGGACTTAAAGGATCTGCTGCTAATGTTTTGGTGTCTCCCAGCTGTGTCAGAGGAAATAAGCGAAACCACAAACCTACTCCAATGAAAGGCATTTTAACAAAAGGGGAAGCAACAAGGGGTAATGTAATTCAAATTATTTTGTATTTTTGTTTTATAAGGTGGATGAACAAGTGGTTGACCAGTCCCAAACTGGCATTACTGTGACTCATAATTTCTGTAACATCCCTAAATGGAATAAGAATTGAAACGTGCTGCCCTATTTTCCAATCCTCCTGTTCCAGTGAGGAGTTGATGCCTATGGAGTGGTAGAAAAGTACCATGGGCTGCCCTTAGCAGGTACAAAAATATTTCCACCATTTCTAAGGTAGAGTTCCTCCCCTGTCACCCAAGTGCTCAGCAATCCTCCTGCAAAACCATCTACAGTGCTGCTAATATGGATAAATCTCTGTGACAGGATTCCTTTGTAGGTAAATGGTGCAATTCAGGAAGTCAACAGAGAGATGTACTCAAGTTCATTTTGCATGCAAGATCCCGTATCAGCTGCTCAAAGGGCTCCCTTTTGATCATGGTAAAGAAGCTCCCCCTTTTGATTTCGTTAGACTGCTGTGTTGACATGCCCCTTGCATGAAATCCAAGTGTGGGCTGGTGAACACTTCTCTGGGATGATGTGAAATTGGAATATGTCTGTACTAGTGGCACTAGGACATGTTGTTAATCTTACTTGCTGGCTACTAGTAGTAGTGGCAGTGGTTATGATGGAGGCAGCGGTGCAGATGGTGTCAGCAGACCTCATAGTCGAGGAAGAGGTGTTTGCATCCTCAGAGGCCATTGCACTACTTATGACGTTGGACTGAGGATTAAAATTCCTTCCCCTAACCTTTTTCAATTTGTTTTTAGGATTAGTACATAATACTGATTGACAGTGCATTTATTTTTCATATTACAATATGTATTGTGCAAACTAGAATAGGTCCATGTGTTGCAAAATAGGGTGCTGCTTGGTGGATTTACTACTGTGATGCTATTGTGTTTGACTTTATTTTTTTTTCCCCCAATACAAAAAATGGTCACTTGGTGATTCCAAATTGAGAAATATTTAAGAAAGTGGATTAATGAGGTGTCGCAGAGAGCACGTAGCACTCACACAGAGCCTAGCGCGCTAGACACCATCTGGTAGATGCATGTTACCCACATGCTCATTGTACATAACATCCCAAGTTTACAACCCCCCATACATCCCCCTGACCCCCAAAGGTACAAGCGTAAGCATTACCACCCAGAGAAGACACGCCATCACTACCACCTGACCTCCAATGGCTGATATCAAAATAATGTCCCTAAATGTTAGGGGACTTAATACTCCAGAGAAACGTACAGTACTAACCCAAGAAATAGACAGGCAACGGGCTGATGTCGTTTTCTTACAGGAAACGCATTTAAAGGGGGATCACACCCCTAAACTAAAGGCAAAAACAATAGGACAAACATTCTTCAGCAACTATCACGGGGGCAAAACAAGAGGAGTAGCCATCCTAATATCACCACGCATAGTCTTCACCCCGAGTGAAATCAAAACAGACCACTTGGGAAGATACCTATTTATCAAAGGCACACTGAATAACACATTGGTGACACTAGCAACTATATATGCCCCAAATACCAAACAAGTATCGTTTGCCAACTCATGTCTTAGGAAACTGCACAAATTTGCAAATGGGATAATAGTCTTAGGGGGAGACTGGAACATGGTCCTAGACCACTCTACGGACAGCTCCACAACCAGTAGAGACATACAGATACACCAAAGGGCTTTATTCCAGAGATCCCTCCATGCCTACCAGCTGGTGGACTGCTGGAGAATATCCCACCCACAGGAGAGGGACTATAGCTACTATTCACAGGTGGCCCATAGTTATTCCAGATTGGATATGTTCTTCTTAGAACATAGGCACTTACACTTGTTAAAGGAAGCATCAATTGGCCACATCACGTGGTCAGACCATGCCCCGGTGTTCCTCATACTATCCATTACAGGAACGGGCACACCCGCCAACAAGTGGCGGTTAAATGAATCGCTACTGGACGACCCAAGAGTGACTGATGATCTCAATAATTCCCTCCCTAGATACTTTCTAGAAAACAAAAACAAAGACACCGCAGACACCTGGGTATGGGAGGCACACAAAGGTATCACCCGAGGCATACTGATTAAGTGGGGTGCACGTATAAAAAAAGAACGCCAAGCAAAGATCAAATCACTCACAGAAGCAATAGCTAGAGCAGAAATGACACATAAAACCGACCCCTCAGTGGAGGCGTACAACACGCTAACGGCATTGAGAATGGACCTACGCAATATCCTTACGTTGCAGGCACACAGAGCAGTACTTCTAACCAGGGGAACATACTACGCACATGGTAATAGAAGTGGGAAGTTTCTGGCCAGAGCCCTAAAAGAAAAGCACCAAAAAACATACATATCCCACATAAAGGCTCAAGACGGTACACGCAAAGATAAAACCGAGGACATAGCCAAAATCTTCCGGGAATACTATAGTAACCTATATAACCTAGTTCACCAGAGAGGTCCTTCCCATGACATTAAAACATACATCTCCTCCCATATCCAAAAAACAATAGACTCTCACCAGTCAACCATATTAGACTCCCACATCCAGCTGGAAGAATTGCAGCGAGCAATTAAAACACTTCCTAAGGGCAAAAGCCCGGGACCAGATTTTGAAAATTTTGAAATTTGAGTATGTACTGAAGTGTTCTATTTCGCTCTGAAGATGCGGGAGGGATCGCTCAGGGTGTGTGAGTGTTAGGAGTACGTCATCTGCAAAAGCAGATACTTTTACTTCCTGTTCTCCTGCCTTGATGCCTTTAATGTTGGTATTTGCCCTGATGGCGTTCAGAAATGGTTCAGATATTACCAATCTTCCCAACACATCCTATCTCCCCACTATCTAGAAGTACTTAACAATCTGCTAACCACTACGGAATTACCACCCCCGATGCTGAAAGCATCGATAACAATCCTGCCAAAACCCGGCAAGGACCAGAGCCTGTGTGGTAGTTATAGACCCATCTCCCTAATTAACCTTGATGTTAAACTGCTTGCAAAAATCCTTGCCAACCGACTCAAGACGCTACTACCTGACCTGGTCCATACAGACCAAGCGGGTTTCATCCCCGGCAGGGAGGCGAGGGACAATACCACAAGAATACTCAACCTCATACATGGTGCCTCTACCACCAGGGAACCAACAATACTCCTCTCGGTGGACGCTGAAAAGGCGTTCGACCGAGTAGACTGGACCTTCCTATTCACCACCCTTGAAACCATAGGAATCGGCCCCAATTACATACGATGGGTGAGAACACTATATAAAGGACAATCAGCCACAATTGGAGTTAATGGGCAAGACTCTCCCCCCTTTGCCATAGGTGGCAATGGCACAAGACAAGGGTGGCACAAGACAAGGGTGCCCTCTGTTGCCACTGCTATTCGTTCTGGTGATGGAACCATTTCTGAACGCCATCAGGGCAAATACCAACATTAAAGGCATCAAGGCAGGAGAACAGGAAGTAAAAGTATCTGCTTTTGCAGATGACGTACTCCTAACACTCACACACCCTGAGCGATCCCTCCCGCATCTTCAGAGCGAAATAGAACACTTCAGTACATACTCAAATTTCAAAATAAACGCTGATAAATGCGAACTTATGGGCATAAACCTAAAATCGACCCAACTCAAACACATAAGCCACAATTACCCTTATCGATGGGCACACACAGGCCTCACATATTTATATATCAAACTCGCACCCACAATGACAAGCCTCTATAGAATGAACTACATTCCCCTATTGGCTAACATTAAATCACAACTCAAACACTGGGACAAACCTCACGTCTCCCTTTTTGGAAGGGTCAACATCATTAAGATGATGATACTACCAAAAATTCTATATACATTTCAAACGCTCCCTATCGAGCTCGGACGCCTGTTCTTCCACACACTGAAAAACATCTTCCTTACGTTTGTTTTGGGAAATAAAAAATCCCGACTGCCATATGAAATACTCACACGGGATAAAAAGAAAGGAGGTATCGGACTACCCCATATGTACAACTACTACATAGCAGTCCTTTTCACTAGAATAAGGGAATGGATAGACACAAAGCACAAAAAAGCGTGGTATGACATAGAACAAATGTATGCACAGGCCCCTCTGCCATCCCTCCCATGGCAGACATGCCAACTTCAGCAGCTGACCACCATGACACACCCCCTTATTCCCCACATCCTAAAGAAGTGGAGATCACACAAAAATACATGGAAACTGTCACCGGGCATATCTCCATTATACCCATTAAACCATAACCCGGATATATTAGGAGGCAGAGGGGCGGATACTATAATAAAACTATTGGGAATACAAAACCCACAAATAGGAGATTTACTGACAGGAGATACACCCCCTAAAATCAAGCAATTCCAAATTACGAGAGGCCACCGTTCGCTCATGGAAGCAATGAGATGCGCACAACTGAGACACTCTATCACTCAAGCAGTACTACCATACTGGACCCCAAGAGGTTTAAGCCCCTTTGAGCAATTATGCACGACCGCACAGCCGATAAAACGCACCCTATCACAAATTTATAAACTCATCCAAACTAACGACAATGCTCAGGAGACCCTAGCATACCAATGTAAGTGGATGAAGGAACTTCACATACACATGACACACCAGGACTGGGCATATATCTTCACAAAACCCATGCACACTTCCAGTAGCCTATCAAGACAAGAGTTCTTCTATAAACGCATCACTAGGTGGTATAGAACTCCGGAGGTACTCCATTTATATTGGCAAACAATTAGTGAACAATGCTGGAGATGCGGGGAGAAGTGGGCAGTATGGGACATCTGTGGTGGTTTTGCCCACTTATGAGAACATACTGGGCAGAAGTAATATCCAAGATCGATGAGATCTTAAAGATACCACACTCACTAACTCCCTCCCAGGTTCTGCTAGGATGGCCACACTCCTTTCAATGTATGAAGAGTCAGCGCCTACTATGGCTCCTTCTGGGAGAAGCAAACAACCTTATACCGGTCCACTGGAAACAAAATGTACCACCCACAGCCAAACAATGGATAGAAAGGGTAGAGCACATGAGAGAAATGGAAATGCTACATTGGTCCACAATAGGCAAATACACTACCTACCTAACCATATGGGAACCCTGGCTAAAACACTGGGCACTAGTACGGAATAAACCACAATAGACGGAAAAGTAATGACAATAAAAGACATGTACATTCCCCCCCCTACCCACTTCCCATGTATATAGTACTTACCCGCTCTCCCCAACATTCCCTATCCCCAGAATCTCTGGTGGCCCTAGTCACCAACCCCACACCAAGGTTTCACGTAATACAAATGATGAGACAATACCAGTGGTACTGTTACGCAAAGGACAATGGGAATTGATGTATATTTGTATACTTTGACACTGCTGTATAAAATGTATGTACCACAACCATCATACCTTACCCTCCCTTCTTGCCTTCTGTATCCCCATTATACGTTGTGAAATAACAATAAAACTCGAATTAAACAAAAAAAAAAAGAAAGTGGATTAATCTCATAAGAGCAAGCATTAGGCTGCTACTATGATAGGACCTGCCGTATATGAGGTACTTTGACGTAGTTGGCAGGCTTATGCAATGTATGATTATATAATGTAACTAAACCCCCATAATTTTTTGCCTAGGTGAGATGTTTTTAAATAAAACTCTTACAATCTCTAAGATTTGAAATAATTGTTTAGTGAATAAGCGAGTGCGCTGGATTCTGTATTTTGGATATTTTGGCCCCAGCAGCATCCTATAATGTATGTACATTCAGGTGAGTGCAGCCCTCTTGGTTTCTTATATATATATATATATATATATATATATATTATTTTTTTTATTTTTTTTTATTACATTACTTAAAAAATGTTTTGGCACCCTCAAAAACAATGCACCCTTGCAACAACATATCACAGAACACCACTACTTTAACACCCCTATTCAACATCTCATATTCCTAAAACAACATTATAGCATGCCTTGCTCGACACCACCACAGTGACCTTAGCCTCTGACAGATTGCTCATAATAGTGAGCTACTGTATAATTTCAAACCCATGATTCCAACACTGTGTTCACACTCTTACAATGTTATTACTCACCTCTGCCTTGCAAGATATCAGTACACACAGCCTATGTGTGTTTGGAAGTACTCACTTACTGATATACTTTGCATACTCATGTTTATTATATAAATTGGTGCTGAATGCTCATGCCACAATATCCGAGTCAATTCTGAACAGCAGTTCCTCCATGCTATTGTGGCATTGCCAGCATGTATGTACACTTACAGCGCAACAAAAATAAACGTTTCTAAAAAAAAAAATGTTTTGGGTTTTTTTTGCACCTCTTGGCCTATCGCTTTCTCATTTTCTAGTTTAGCCACTAAATATAATTAGAATATTTATATTAATAATAATATTGCCTAAGAAGAAACCATAAGAATGTCTATAATAAGCAAAGCGTGAGTGTATCATTAGCTGTGGTCACTCTTTTTAAAGTTTATTCAGGACATGAAATCCAGATGACGGGTCTTCAAGTGTTCTTCAATATTGAGAGTTTTTAACTAAAGGTTCAATCAATGATGGAGAATGCTTTGCTTGTATTGTAAGGTAGAATTGCAGTTCTTATTTCCTAAATAATTCAGCCTCTGTTCTAACATGATTCATGGAGACAAATATAAAACAATTCACATCCTTGGAAAATGTAAGCAAAAATGGATATATAAACCTAACTGAATTAACAGGGTGATTTTTTAAAAATTAATTAATTTTGCTATTTAGCAAAGCTGATTGCTGTTTATTTCAGTAAATGGAAGCAAACTTCTTTAGAGTGGAAAATAATTTAGAATTACTTTCATTTAAAGTGTTCCTTTTATGCTTTCTTTATTTTTTTTATTACTGCCTTCTGCACATTTTTGATAATTTCTGTTGTATTGTTGTATGTTTTGCAACATCAACTATTTAAAAAAACAAGTACAAATCAAACTCCATTTTTTCTGCACTACTTCTAATTACAATAATTTGCTGTTAAATATACCTCATTTGCATTTAATGACGCTTGAAAGATTAGTCCCTTAATTATCAAAGGCCTTTGTTTTGTGATTCAGCTTCAAGTGCGTGCCAAAAAGTGTCTTGGAAGACTTTCAAAGAATGTGCAGATTTTTTTTTGCATAGAACAGCAAATTAAATATGCACATTTTCTGAATACAGAATTAAAGAAAGTAAGTTTGCATGGGGTGCAAGCGTTTTACGATATAAATATCAGCACTGAGCACATATTTCAAAACAGGGCATGAAAAAAAGGATAATGTTCAAAAGCCTATACAATAATTATATGGCTATGTTAAAACCCAGCTATGGTATACTTTATAATGAAGGATTAAACTATTGTAACCAATTTCTATGATTGAATAAATTTGAGAGGTTATAATAAAGTTAGTGTTTTGGTAAAGATAACAGTAAGATAGTAACTAACAACATAACAAGAAGGTAGACCTGAAAACCATTTAGCACATAATGTTACCCTACCATTCATATACAATTTTATTTGGACATATTACATAATATGGCACCCCCTGTGGACATAGCTGTAACTGCAAGTCACCGCTAAAGAATAATTCAAACCTCTTGCTAGTCATAATAGCCACTTGTGGACTCTATTGGCAGAGGTGTCTCAAAGTTTACACTGATGCTAGAATCATCCATTCGAGCTTGTGTCTGGAAAGTTTCCATTTAGTTAAAGAAAGATGAGTGAACTCCAAGTAAGCTGAATAACCATTTCAGAAGTCCTTCTCTGTGTCCTTTCACCACCACTAGCATATTCAAAGTAAGAGTCCAGTAAAGGGATCACAGACTGTAGTAATCTAGATTAGAATGGTGAGCAGTGCTAGGCAACCTTTGGCACTTCAAATGTTTTGGACCACATCTCCTATAATGATGGCAAAGCAACATGGAAGATGTAGTCCACAACATCTGCATTGCCAAAGGTTGCCTGTTCCTGTTATAGGAATAGCTATAGATATCCATGCTACCTAAAGTAAAGCAAAGTAAATACTCAGAATCTACTCTTACAAGCTCTCTTTTGTAAAATATAGCCTTGCTACCATCATTGTCATAATGTCCCATTTCAACAAAACAGCCATCAGAGCTCATCATTGGTTTTTGGTATTAAGTACTGTCTATTGTACCAGCACTCATAATATGGTGATTTTCAATTTTTCAGTCATCATAAAACTAAAGACTTGATATGGGACAGCCACTGAAAGAGAAACCCGCCTGTTGGCTTGGAGCTTAAAAGCCAAACTAGATAAGAGTACATGCAGTAGAATCAATTACAAAGTGTGGTTTCATGGCCTGGCAGAAGAGGTGAGTGGAAGTCATTTTCCACAGCTCTGCATCACATCAACAAAAATCTAAATATTGTCACCTGTTAATTGCTTTCCTGTAGTTACCTGCCCATTAATATGAACCCATTATTAAATTTGCATATCTAGGATGGAGAGCTGCATTGCAACTTGCTTGTTGGATCCCTTTTGGTTTGGGGGATCCCTTCTTAACTGGAATGGCATTCGGGCTGCTGGAAAATACATAAATTAGTGATCTTTGGTCTGAAAAATTCACCTAGTTTTCCAGCACTGGGCAGATATTGATTAAAAACGGGTCCTTCTTTTGTTGAAGGCAAGGTTTATCAGTTCCTTCTTTCTCACTAGACTTCCCCCTGAAGGCAACGTTTCCCAATTGGTGCTCCGCGAGAACACTATTGGGGTTCTGCAAAAAATGTTTTAAATAAAATGGCCGCGGGCGACCAGGGAGCAGTGGGCAGTGATCTCCCTACTCAGCTCCCTCGTGCACACCGCAATTATGCAGGAGACGGAATATGACGTCACTCCGACTCCGGCATCAGTAAGCGCACGAGGGAGCTTAGCAAGGAGATCACTGCTCCCTCGCCGCTCAGCAGCCCCACTGGACACCAGTGTGTCTGTTAGGGAGTTTGTATGTGTTTGTGTGTCTGTCAAAGAGCATATGTGTGTTTGTCAGTGAGAGTGTATGTGTGCTTGTCAGTGAGTGAGTGTGTATTTGTTTGTCAGTGAGAATGTACGTGTGTTTGTCAGTGAGAGTGTATGTGTGTCTATCAAAGAGTGTGTGCTTGCCAGTGAGAGTGTTAGTGTGTCTGTCAAAGAGTATGTGTGTCAATGTGTATCTGTGTGTCAAGGTTTGTGTATCTGATACACTGTGTGTATCTACGTGTGTATGTCAGTATGTGTGTATGTGCCAATGTGTTTGTATGTGCCTGTGTGTGTGTTTGTGTATGTCAGTGTGTGTGTATGTGCCAGTGTCTGTACCTGTGGGTGAAAGTGTGTATATCTGAGTGTGTGTGTATTTGTGAGGCAAGATGTGTGTGTATTTGTGTATCTGAGTGTGTGTATCTGTGTGTCAAAGTGTGTGTGTCAGTGTGTGTTTGTGTGTATCTGTGTGTCAGATACATATATATACACACACACACATAGCGTAACCACTGACACAGAGATACACACCCCGGCACATACAAACACAGATACACACATTTTGATACATAGATACACATACCTTGACACACAGATACATACACACACACACAGATACACACTGTCTGTGTCAGTGTGTGTATCTGTGTGCATCTGTGTGTCAGATTCATACACACTGGCACATACAAACCCAGACACACACACCTTGATACACAGACACATACAAACACAGATACACACACTTTAACACACAGATACATACATACAAGCACACACACACACTGTGTGTCAAGGTTTGTGTGTCTGTGTGCCACTATGTGCCTGTGTGCGTGTGTATTTGTGTGTCAGATTGTCAGATACATACACACACAGATACACACACTGGCACATACAAACACAGATACACACACCTTGACACACAGACACACACACCTTGACACACAGACATACACCGGCACATACAAAAACAGCGCAATTTTAGAATTTATTTTCCCGGGGGGGAAGGGAGGAGGCTGGAAGAAGGGTTGGGGTTCCACGATCTTTATACACTATGTCAAAGGGTTCCATGGAAAAAATTTATTGGGAACCCCTGACCTAAGGCAAATTATCAGCCCTGGGGTATTGTCTTATTAATGCAATTTTCTATTTTGACAGCAATCACCTTGAAATATCTCCTTATACATAGTAGCTTTGCATACTCTACTTAATTGTGGGTCAGTGATAATGCTATTCCATTGTTTTTAACTAAGAAGGCCTCTGACTCAATGTATGTATACCGGACTCTGCATAAACTAGGATATCTAAATTGATACATGCCAGTTGTGAGGTTTTTCCACACTTACCATCCAGTGATGCAGAGCATCAAGTAATAGCAACTTTCCTGCACTACTACTGTCCAAGCAAGTGGGGCTTTTTTGTGAAACAAACAATAAATTAACTTAATTCACATGCAGATGCTCAAAGCAATCATCATCTATAGCTACTACTTAAGCAAAAGACCTGTTGGAAACTCATCAAGAAGACTCCATATGGTAGTTTCTGTAGTCTGAAATATCAGACTTTCTAGGCAATTATTTTTAAATAAATAAGAAGACTGCCAGGAGCACCAAAAAGGCATTTGAAGGGAAAAATGGTTAAAAAAAATCCACCTATGAATTAACATTAAAATAAATCAAATTACTACATAGTCATAAAATTTACTCAGCAGATTCACACTCAAGTGCATCACACCCCAAAAGAATATTTCATCCACAATAATCAATAGCTTATAAATAGCATATAATGGTATGAAGTAGAGTCAGTAAATATATTAAGTACTAATTTTCAAACACATATATAGTGATATAGAATCTATAAATAATTTGAAGTGAAACAATATAGAAAGAAAAAAAATATTTAGATAATAACCCTATTTCAACATACATAATTAAAATACATATATCTTAATAACACCATTGTATATAAAAATAAAAACATCATGCCAATTAGTATAAAATAATGTCTTTTAATTTTTTTTTTTATTTTTTTTAAAGATCAAAATCATTATTGAGCCAATCAGGAACTAAGGTGTTTACCGTATTTTTCGCTCCATAAGACGCACCTCACCATAAGACGCACCTAGTTTTTAGAGGAGGAAACCCAGAAAAAAAAATATTCTGAACAAACTGTTCCATAGTGTTTCTTACCATGGGACAGTTTGTTCAGAATATTTTTTTTTCTCCCCTGCCCCATAATGATCTTTAACCCCCCTTTCCTCTGTCCCATAGTGATTGTTAACCCCTCCTACCCTGTCCCATAGTGATTGTTAACCCCTCCTACCCTGTCCCATAGTGATTGTTAACCCCTCCTACCCTGTCCCATAGTGTTCTTTAACCCCTCCTCCCCTTGTCCATTAGTGTTCTGATCCCATAGTGTCCCCCCCCTCCCATTGTCCCATAGTGCACTTTCCCTCCCATAGTGTCCCCTCCTCCCATTGTCCCATAGTGCACTTTCGCTCCCATAGTGTCCCTCCCTGCCATTGTCCCATAGTGTGTCCCCCTCCCCTTGTCCCATAGTGTCTCCCCCTCCCCTTGTCCCATAGTGTCTCCCCCTCCCCTTGTCCCATAGTGTCTCCCCCTCCCCTTGTCCCATAGTGTCTCCCCCTCCCCTTGTCCCATAGTGTCTCCCCCTCCCCTTGTCCCATAGTGTGTCCCCCTCCCCTTGTCCCATAGTGTGTCCCCCTCCCCTTGTCCCATAGTGTCTCCCCTCCCATTGTCCCATAATTACTTACCTGTCTTGGAGCGTGGGCCGGCTTCACAGCGCGGTCCAGGAACTTCTATTTCAGGTTCCGGTTTCCGGCGGGACTGAAAGGAAGTGCACACTGAGTGTGCACTTCCTTTCAGTCCCGCCGGAAACCGGAACCTGAAATAGAAGTTCCTGGACCGCGGAGCGCGCTGTGAAGCCGGCCCACGCTCCAAGACAGGTAAGTAATTCTTCACATTCGCTCCATAAGACGCACAGACATTTCCCCTCACTTTTGAGGGGAAAAAAAGTGCGTCTTATGGAGTGAAAAATACGGTAATTAAAAGAAAAAATCAACATGTCTGTCTGTCCTAGTTTTTTGATTAAATGTTCACCCTTGCAACCTCTTTCAACCTTTTGAATGCCAAAAATGTCATTGTTGAGTGGTTTGCATTATGGTCCTCTCTAAAATGTAGTGATACATGTTGAATTTCCTACTGATATTACATATATGTTTACATATTCTTACTCGTCAAGGTCTAGTAGGTAGTCCTTTGTAGCTTAGACCACAGGACAGGTTAGCATATACATTACTTTAATCGAATTGCATGTAATGTATTCTTTTACAGTTTATTTTGTATTATTGATTGTAAATTCACTAATATAACACCTTTTAGATTTGCATGACTGGCATGCACTATGGTTTCCACACCCAAAAAAGCCTTTATGTTAATTTAAAAAAATTCTTATTGTCGGTTTCGTCCCCATGACTCTTAATTACGTTACTAGTAAAAATTCTTTGTAAATTTGGTAGCCAACTATGCACAATTTTAGGATTTATGGGTAAAATCTCTTTAAGAATAGGATCTTTGAGAAGTAAATGCCAATTATTTTTTAATGCTTCTTTTTACCCTTATATTATGACCTTCTGAAAATTGGCAGATGAAATAAATTATTTCCTGATTGATTTAAAAATTCTTTATATTTCATTAAAGCAGATCTGTTGATTTTTTTTTGTATTTCCTCTAAGGTGTTTTTTAAAGAATCATATTCATAAACCCTAGTTACAAAATCTTGGAGAACTTTATGACTCTGACTAACATATGTATTCATATCCGAACAATGTCTTCTTACTCTAACAAATTGGCTCTTTGGTACATTCTCCAGCCATAAACTAATAGAACAATGTTATATTTCAGTAAAGCTATTCATGCTCACTGACTTGAAGACATTTAAAGGGACACTATAGTCACCTGAACAACTTTAGCTTAATGAAGCAGTTTTGGTGTATAGAACATGCCCCTGCAGCCTCACTGCTCAATCCTCTGCCATTTAGGAGTTAAATCCCTTTGTTTATGAACCCTAGTCACACCTCCCTGCATGTGACTTGCACAGCCTTCCATAAACACTTCCTGTAAAGAGAGCCCTATTTAGGCTTTCTTTATTGAAAGTTCTGTTTAATTAAGATTTTCTTATCCCCTGCTATGTTAATAGCTTGCTAGACCCTGCAAGAGCCTCCTGTATGTGATTAAAGTTCAATTTAGAGATTGAGATACAATTATTTAAGGTAAATTACATCTGTTTGAAAGTGAAACCAGTTTTTTTTTTCATGCAGGCTCTGTCAATCATAACCAGGGGAGGTGTGGCTAGGGCTGCATAAACAGAAACAACATGAATTAACTCCTAAATGACAGTGAATTGAGCAGTGAAATTGCAGGGGAATGATCTATACACTAAAACTGCTTTATTTATCTAAAGTAATTTAGGTGACTATAGTGTTCCTTTAACCCCTTAAGGACACATGACATGTCTGACATGTCATGATTCCATTTTATTCCAGGAGCTTGGTCCTTAAGGGGTTAATAGATAGGCACTGAACCAAATATATTATTGAATAAGCATCAGTTATCATATATTGAAATAATGGACTTTGAATTGAACCATTTGGAACCCTTCAGGGCGGAGTTATAACACTTCTAAATACGCCGTGAATAATAGCACTCTTAAATATACTGTGACAACTATTCTGGTTAAGTGTCTAAGTGTAGCAACTATATATCAGCACACTCACAATAAGACACATGTGCAGCCGAAAGCTTGTGAGTCCGTGGCTTATTTATTTATTTTATTTTATTATATAATTTTTCATGACTCACGATAAGGTTCCGTGCTAACATCCTAATGTGTTATTATTGTTCATGCCCTCCACCTTTATCATGAACAACAGCCCTCTAATCTTTCGGGTTTTTCACCAAGACCGTTAAGGGTTAAAACCCTTTTTAATGCTTCCTTTGGTTAACTTCGGCTAACCAGTTACATCATCAACTAGCACGATTACAATTGGCTAGTATAAGCATTTGAATCCAACCTATCAGAACTGTCATTCACCTTTATAACTTTGGTTATTTCCCGCACATCGGTTCCCTTCTGATGAGGGTCACTCAAGGGCACTCGGAGATCCTGAGACTTAGCATTATTTAACTCTCATTTTGATCAGAAATAATTTATTCTGTATCTCAGATCCCGAGTTGTATCTACCGCTACCGCTAATTAACTTTTTTTGGGGACTGGGTTATATGTACCAACAACTATGTATATTTAGCTAGACCTCAAGATAGTATGATCTTATAAGCTTTGATTTGACAGCTTACCCACCCCCTCATGAGTAGCGGAGCATTACTTCACTTCCACGGAGGCTGCATTTTGTACATATCTTTAGCAGGGCTTATTTCGGCTCACCACCACATACCGGTTCTAAGCATTTAGGCAAATATATATAATTATTTTTTTTTGTGCAGCCACATATATCTTTCTCGCCTGCACTGCTTTACATGCATTTTTGGTGCTTCATTTATTCTTAGAAGCACTATATATATATATATATATATATTTATATATATATATATATACATAACTGACAACTACTGTAGCATTTAATGTTCACACATTTATCGGTCTAATCTTTATAGCAAGCGCTATCTTACACTTCTACTGTGGATTGTAAAACTATGTTTTACACACATTATTAGGACAAGGTCTCTCAAAACTTATGAACAGGACCTTTTACCAGTCTGTATATATTTTAGTTAATCACCGAAACGGATTTACCAGGCAAGTCTTTCTAATACCTCTTTTCAAATCTGCTACAAATACTGTTACGTTGTTTTCTTACTATAGGTTTTAGATACAACCACGTTCTTCTACCGAATATCGACACTGATTTATCAGACTGTATAGCAAACACTATTTTACTCAGCCACTGTGGATTGCAAGAATTTGTTTTGCACACACTACTAGGTGAAGGTCTCTGAAAACTTATGAACAGGACCTTTTACCAAATTGTATATACTTCAGTTAATTATCAATACTAATTTATCAGAATGTATATACTTTAGTTCATCACCCCATGAATAGATACGGATTTATTAGACTGTATATACCTTAGTTTATATTTTTGTACACGTATCTCTATAGCTAGCGCTAATTACCCAGCTATTGTGGTTTGCAAAACTATTCCTTACATATACCACTAGGTAAAGGTCTCTGGATACTTTTGAACAGGACCCTCTTTACCCCTGTATTCTATCATCATTGCGTTTACAGGGTCTCTCTACATATTTTTCTATTGATACTTACTTATCAGATTGTTTATATACCTTTGTTTATTACTTTTTGAGCATTGCCCTCACTATGGATACCTATACTAGATTTTAATCATTATTTATTTATTATTTATAAAATATTTTACCAGGAATACTCTCAAAGGCTATATTTTAATGCATATATATTACTACTTCTCTTAAATACGCATCACAAAGCTGGAGGATCACGATTGGGTAGATAAACGGAGTTCGAGGATCCCATTAAGATCGATCATGTCTTTGACGACTTATCTGTTACTAAATGTTTAAGTGGCAGCAGTTCAGTTGCATTATACTCACCATCAGTATTCAGTAAGTGGTTATGTTTAATCAAATTTCTGTATGAAATATTGTGATCACTGAATATTCCTTAAAATCTTGACTTACATTTTTAATACTGAGCTATATTTTTCAGCTCAGGAAGATGTGAATGGGAGACCTAATTATTGTTAGGGTTATATTATGGTTATATTACTGACAGAATTGTACTATTACTTGTTTGTCTTACGTTACATTAACCATATAATTCTGAATTGAGACACTGTATTACAGTATATTTGTTTACACCTCATAACTCTCTCCTTTCTATATTGGTGTACAATATTTTTTTGGCACCCTTTTATTATTTCATTTCACGTTATTTATAGATTCTATATCACTGTATATGTGTTTGACGCTCTTTACTATATTTACTGAATTTTGTTAGCACTCCACTTCATACCATATCACAGATAAAACCTTTATACCAGGACTAAGTCTTAACGTCAGTGTCAGGTGCTATGTGCAGGAGATATAACGAACTTCATATCCCCAATTTTACTAATGGCTGCCAACTGTGCTTAATGCAAGTTACAGCCCCAGGCATCTGACAGAGTCTTGGAAGACACTGCTGACTGACAGAATTTTTTAGCACTATATGCTCTGCCCAATCACATCAGGGAATATGTTTTCATTTTATTATCTAACAACCATTGTATAAATGATGGACCACGCATCACCTACCTCAAAACCATCTCTCATGTGTCACCTTTACTCGTCCATGCGTTTCTCATGTGTTTCTCCATAACCTCATCCCTTATGTATCTCTCCTATTCCCCCATATTCCTTCTGTTTCTATCCATCCCCTCCATCCTTCATATGTCTCTCAGATCCTTCCCATCCCTCCTTTTCATTCCCAGATTGCACTTGGTCTTTGACCATGTCTGCATTTCCCTTTAGAGCTCTGCCACTTGTTGCTGTGTGAGAGAAGAGGGAATGGGATATGAAGTTGCATCAAGATTCTACCCTCTCCACTCACACAGTATATTAAAGAGTCCAATGAAAAGACCAGCAGAGGGCCTGTTCATCTGCTCTACATTGATAGCTGAATGAGTTCCCCTGGAGACAACAAACCAGAAATCTGTCTTATTCACCTACACCTAGAAACAATAATTGACAGAGAGCTAAGACGGAAGTTGTTAGATACTGAGATGCGGATTTCTACATTTAATTTAATTTTTCACCTCTTACAAATAAATATGTTTTAAATATAAAGAAAAACATAATATAAAAAATCCTGGGGAGTGTCAGTTTGGCTTTAATTTTGTTCTTGTTTATCTTTCACAGAGATAACCGAGGGGCTAAAACCTGTTGAAATTAAATGGCGTCCTTTAAATTGCAATCAGATATATTAGTATGGAATCAGAAATTTAGAGTTTGTCCTTTATATTTTTTCTAAAATCCCTAATTTTCTGTCATATAATTTTTGGTACTTTATAGCTATTGTTATCTCTGTTACATGCTGATATTATGCTTCATACCACATTGCTTTTTATTTTATTGAATGAGTCAAAATAAATAATTTTAAAATATGTTTTATATATACATAGTTAAATAGGATGCTGATATGAGACATGTGTCCATCAAGTTCAGTCTTCCTTACTGGTGTTTTTTTTTTTTTTTGCTGTTGATCCAAAAGAAGGCCAAAAAACACTCCCAATTTTGCAACAAACTAGGAAAAAAATCCCTCTTGACCACAGAATGGCAGTCAGATTTATCCTTGGATCAAGAAGCTATTATCCTACATTGAAAAATGATATTCTTGAATATTCAGTTTTTGCCAGTGCGCATGTAGTTGGTGTTTAAACATCTGTACGAACTATGATAAAAAACACTTCTTCAGGCTGAGAATTCCATATCCTTATTGTTTTTACAGTAAAAAAAAATCTTCTTTCTTCCAGTCTAAATGCATGACCTTGTGTGCTATGTAAAGTCCCGTTAGTGAATAGATTTCCACACAATGGTTTTGTATTGGCCCAGGATATATTTGTATAATGTTATCATATCCCCTCTGAGGGGATGTTTTTCCAAACTAAAGAGGTTTAAATTTGTTAACCTTTCTTCATATCTAAAATGTTTTATTCCTTTTATTAATTTTGTAGCCCACTTCTGCACTTTTTCTAGTGCCATAATATCTTTCTTTAAAACAGGTGCCCAAAATTGCATAGCATATTCAAGATGTGGTCTTACTAGCGATTTATAAAGAGGCAAAATTATATTCTCATCCCGATAATGAATGCCCTTTTTCATGCATGACAATACCTTACTGGCCTTAGCCACTGCTGATTGACATTGCACATTGTTGCATAGTTTGTTGTCTATAACAATTCCCAAGTCCTTCTCGTGTGTCGTTATCCCTAAATTCGTTTCCATTAAGGGTATAAGTTGCTTGTGCGTTCTTTATGCCGAAGTGCATTAAATGTCATTTGTATGTATTACTTTACAGAGTTTTGTGTCAACTGCAAACACTGAAACATGACTTTCAATGCTTTTTCCAAGATCATTTCTAAACATGTTAAATAGAAGGGGTCCCAGAACAGAACCATGAGGGACACCACGTGCCACTTCTGTCCAGCTTGAAAATGTACCATTAACGACAACTCTTTGTATTCTATTTTTAAGCCAATGTTCTACCCAAGAAAAATAACTTTCATCTAG